AAAAGCGTACTCTTGTGTGTACTGTGACTTTACAGCAGTTAAAAATGAAACTTTACAAAACCACATCTATAGCAAACATAAAGAACAAAATGAGTTGGAAAATAAAGTTGCAATAAAACTAAAAACTTACTCTTGTGTGTACTGTGACTTTACAGCAGTTGGAAACCAAGGGTTGCAAAACCACATTTATAGTAAGCATAAAGAACAGAATAAATTGGAAAATAAAGTCGCAATAAAAGTAAAAACTTGTGCGTACTGTGACTTTACAACATTAAAGAACCATAACTTACAAACACACGTCTTCTCCAAACATAAAGAACAAAATAAATTGGAAAAGAAAGTTCCTATAGTCATAAAAATTTCTTCTTGTGTGTACTGTGACTTTACAACAGTGAATAACAAATTATTACAAAGCCATATTTACAGCAAACATAAGGGACAACATGATTTAGAAAATAAAGTAGCGATCAATTTAAAAACTCAATCTTGTGTGTACTGTGACTATACCACATTGCAAAACCAAAGGTTGCAAAATCACATTTATAGCAAACATAAAGAACAAAATGAGTTGGAAAATAAAGTCGCAATAAAAGCAAAAACTTACTCTTGTGTGTACTGTGACTTCACAACATTGCAAAACCAAAGGTTGCAAAGTCACATTTATAGCAAACATAAAGAACAAAATGAGTTGGAAAATAAAGTCGCAATAAAAGCAAAAACTTACTCTTGTGTGTACTGTGACTTCACAACATTTAAAAACCAAAGGTTGCAAAACCACATCTATAGAAAGCATAGAGAACAAAATGATTTGGAAAATAAAGTATCAATACAAATAAAACATTTGACTTGTGTGTACTGTGACTATACTACTCCTTATAAACAAACATTAAAAAAGCATATATTGGCAAAACATAAAGAACAAAATGAGTTAAAAAATTAATTATCAATACAAGTAAAAACTCACTATTGTGTGTCATACAGAAGAAAATAAAGTCGCATAACAAACTTAAGCTCGCTGCACAACAGCCCTGTAACGGGAACGGTAAAGGTGGGAGAGACTTGGCGAACCCTATCTATCAACAGTGGTTTTTAGTCTCTCCCACCTTTATTGTTAGGATTCCCGTTACCGGGCTATTGTGCAGCGGGCTTTACTCGTTTGTGTACTGTGAGTTCAGAACAATTACAAATCAAAGCTTGCAAATCCACATCTTTAGAATACATAAAAAACAACATGGTTTAAAAAATAAAATCGCAATAAAAGCAGTTGAAAATTAATATTGCTGGACAAATATTTCGTTGCAAAAATTAAGAACTGATTTTTGTATAAAGCCTATTGCATTTTTAAAAACATTAATTTGTTTTATGTTTAACGTTTTTCGTAAAATTTCGTAAAAGGGATTTTTCATTATGTCAAAATACAAAATACAGCATTCTAATACTAACAAACAAAATAAAAAAACCGCATTGTCTATTATAATAAGTATTAAATACCTGTCATTTTGAATTTGCATGTTGAAGGGTTGTAAAAAAGTTCTTTTGAAAAAAAAAATTAAATGCAGAATTTCAGTAAGACAGCAAATGTTTTTCCCAAGATCAGATCTTATAGGTAATGTGACTTAAAAAAAATCGTAATTTACTAAAGCACATCTATAGGAAACATTAAAAACAAAATTTATTACAAAATAAAGTATCAATACAAATGAAAAATGCGGTAGAGAATAAAGGAGCATTAAAAAACATTTGACTTGTGTGTACTGTGACTATACCACTCCTCATGGACAAACATTAAAATAGCATAAAAATAAAGAACAAAATGAGTTGAAAAATAAAGTATTGATAAAAATAAAATCTAACTCTTGTGTCTACTGTGACTATACCACTACCAATATTAAGTAAGCATTGAAAAGGCATATTTTTTTAAACATAAGGAACAGAATGTAGAGAATAAGGTAGCAATAAACATAAAACCTTTGACTTGTGTGTACTTTGACTATACCACTCCTCATAAAAAAACATTGAAATATTTCAATATATATATAGCTATATACTATATAGCTTGCCAAATTAAGTTAATTTGTAAAACAGATAAATAAATGAATTCTTGCTTAGAAACAAGATGTCCAGCCTACTATACCTTATACATTAAATTGGGATTTTCTCGCCAGGTCCGCATTTTTATGAAATGTCCCATATGCTATATAGTATATAGCATATGGGACATTTCATAAAAATGCGGACCTGGCGAGAAAATCCCAATTTAATGTATAAGGTATAGTAGGCTGGACATCTTGTTTCTAAGCAAGAATTCATTTATTTATCTGTTTTACAAATTAACTTAATTTGGCAAGCGTCATAACTAAGCCCTATAGAAAGTACTTTAAAAAATTATTATTTTGATTACTGTCCACTTCTGTCGGCCTTTCTGCATGCAAAAGAAGTAAATTTAAGAATATATTAAAAATATTGTGAATATTTTTTATTCTGTTATTAAATATAATTTTTCTTCTCCTATTACGGAATATGACCGTTCTATTATCACTGTTAAATGTGGAATTACATGTATTTCTTAAAGTGTAACAGAATGAATTATTTTATCACCGTATGACATAATAAACACTGGTGGCGACATCTCTGTTTATTATCTAAAACTTTTAGACCGATTCAACCTCACTTTATCCCAATTAAATTATTTTTCTATGGTATATTTTTTGAAAACTTTGAAAAAGTATAGTCTGAAACACATTTGTAATTGCGTATTTCAAATTTGTTACAGAATATACTATTACAGGCAGTGGTTGAGTAAAAAAACGAGAATTGTTTTTTAGAAAGTATGGCTTTAACCGGTGCTGAAAAGATGAAGAGAAGAAGGGAAAAGTTAAAGAGGCTAGGAATGTATGAGAATTATAAAAAGAAACATGCAGAAATATGTAGAAAAAGTAGAGCAAAAAAGAAGGTCGCTATTAACAATTTACCCGCATCAAAACGAAAGCAACTACAAAACGAAATTGGAAAAATAGTCAATGAAAGAGTAAAAAAATGGCGTTCTCTTAAAAAATCTAAAATTGATAATGTAGGCACCACAAAAACTACATTCTAGCTTTAAATGCAATGCATAGCATTTCCCCAACATGTCCTCGCTATAACAATGATTTTATACAGTCAGCAATGTGTGAAAACCCAATTAAAGCGTGTTGGAAATTTACTTGTGGTACTTGCAAGGACATACTGGATACAAACTTAAAACAATATGTAAATGCTTGCAATAATTCCGAAGTTTCATGGTTCGTATGGCAAGACAGAAGGGAAATTATGTAAAGTTTTACATTCTGGATCGGCTTCGGAACTGAAGGAACACATACTTAGCATGTCTAAAACTTTTTTTGAACATTGCCATGTCAAAAGGTATCAAGCTGGTGCATATCAGAATGATAGAAAGGCTACCAACTTAAATCCATCAGCTGCCTTAGTTCAAGTAGATGAAAATATCAGTGATGAGGATGATGATGATCACGTCCCACTGGCTACACTTAAAACAAGACTATAAACTACTTCTTCTTAACTCAAAGTCGAGTAACACGATTTACCAAACTTTTTGTTGTTTATTTTTTACAACCAATATTTTTATAAATTTCTTTATGTTTAACCTTGATCCATTTTTGTTATTTAAGAGTAGCTTTATTTTTAAATTCGCAGAAATAATAAAAAGTTTATGGAAAGGTAAACCGTATGTTCGTAGGATGTAACGCGAGTTTATTTTCTAAAAATAACAATTTAAATTCATTTTGTTTATTAGAATATTATTTTAATTGTTTATGTTGATGTTAAACTATTAGAATTAAGTATTGTCGTTTTACTGCCAAATAATATATCTGATTGTACCTTGGAATGTCCCATATACTAAAAATAATATCTTAATTCATTTGATCACCTACTAAAGTAGATTAGTAAATACAACCTAAATACTGCAATTATAATTTGTTATATTTCTTTTTTTAATAAAAGTTTTTGAAAATAAATGTTTTTTAAAAAATTGGACATTTTTTATTCCTTTTAATAAAGTTTTAACTACTGTTCTTTTATATTTTTTAAACAACTCCTTTAGTAAAAATGGTTTATTAAATTTCAGTTGAGAAAATTGACAATAATATTTTTAAAATATATTTTGCTAGTTTTAAGATTGTTTTACTAAGGTACATTTATTAATGTTACCAAACGAAGAGCACTTGGACAATCAATAATAATTGAAAATATTTTTAGGAAATGAATCCAAAATATTTAAAAACCTAATAAATAATTAAAATAAACAGAACATAACTATCAAAAAACTATTCGATAAACCTTATTCACAAACTGTCAAATGTCAATTTTAAGGTTAACTTACTATAACCCACACATTAACCTTAAAATTGACATTTGACAGTCCTGATAAGGTTAATTTTTAACAAAAGAGGAGTAAAATGGTTGCCCTTGGCACTTTAAGGCTTACAAGTTCCTTTGTAAGAAACACAACGTTTAAAACGATAAACAGCACAAACCCAAAGCACAAGAATTGTAAACAACATAAAGATGGCCGTTATAAGAGTCTGTGATGTTGGTTTGTAATTTTTAGTAAGCGCGCAACGATAGAAAAGACCTTGTTGTGTGGATTGGGGTTGTATCATTAAAAATATATATATGTATATACGGGGTCTTGTTATCGCGTAAAACAAACCCTCCACCCAGTACAAGTAAATCGTGCCGGTAGTGCTTTACCTCCCACGACTTAATCCATACGGTAGCGCTTTCATAGTTTAAATGACCTGTTCAGTGTTGCCAGATGTCTGGTAATATCTTTTTTTTAAGTTTTGCATATGATTTATTATAAATATCCGATGAATATTTTTACTCAAAATTAATTGAAGTATCATTTTAAGCTTTGGCAATTTTTCCTTAATTCTGATTCCTAATTTCATTTACATTTTTACATTACATTCTGCTAATTACACTCATAATCTGGCAACACTGGTACTGTCAAGATTAACACTTTTAGGTTAGGTTTATGTGTTTATTTTATTATTTTTTCCTGTTTCCTTTAATTTAAGTTATTTTTAACTATGTTTAGACTATAAAATTCGAAATGAAGGCTCTAAGGCGGTTCATTAACGACAACATATACGTTTTTTTGGGAATTTTGATTGGTTTATACGTTTCAATACTAATACAAGAACAATTTGATGTCGAATGTAAGCACAAAAACGATGTGCAAAGAAACGAGAGCAATCAGCAGATACTGTCGAATTTTAACAAGAGTTTACCCATAATAAATGTGCCAAAAAAAGGTACGGCAAGTGTTAAGAAAAAAATTGTTCGGCCAAGATATTACTCTACTGAACTGGGCATTAGAGAAAAAATGTTTATCGGCATTTTTACCTCGGAGGAAAAAATAAACTCACAGGCTGTACACATCAACAAAACCATAGGCCATATAGCCAATAAAATCAAGTTTTTTATGACGGCACAGTATAAGTTAAAAAACAAGTTCAATCTGACAGGTTTAGTTGGTTTTACTGACTCTAGAACACGGTATAGACCTTTCCAAGTCGTTAAATATGTTGGTGACAGTTTTGGGCAAGACTACGACTATTATTTCTTGGCAAACGATTATACATATATTAACATACATAGATTAAATGATTTAGTGAAAAAAATCAGTGTATCTATGCATGTATATTTAGGAACTAAGGTGCAAGACTCAAGTTACTGCAGTTTAGGTAACATGGCAAACCAAAAAAAGTTAATATTTTGCTTATTTGTAACATTTTTTAGATTCAGGAATTTTAATAAGTAATTCTGTTTTAAAAGCAATGAGAGATCATTTAGATTGGTGCATTATTAATACTGTGTCAGATGATCATAGTGAAAATTTCGGTAGATGTGTATACCACAGCATAGGCCTTAAATGTCAAGACAGTATACAGGTAAGTTAAATATTTTTATGCAAAAAAATCGCTCCAATCACCCAATTAATATAGGAACTATAGTCATAAAAACAAATATTGTTATATGCACTTGTGACTCCAACATTCTGTATAACTTCAATTTCTGATTTGAGATTAAAAATAAACTCAAAAAATCCTTTAAAATGATATATCACACGATATATTTACGGCAATATTAACGATTGACCGCTCTTATTGTAATTGCGGTCATTTTTATTTGTAGTCTGATTTTGACGTGTGATAGCTCATTTTATAGGGAATTTTATGTACTTTTTAGGGTGTATCATGGCGTTCATTTAAAATAAGACATTTTGAACTTAACGAACATTTATTGGACTTGACCCAGAAAGAAGAATTTAATAACGCCATAACGGTCCAACCTGTGATACAAGATAAGGATATTTATTTGTTAAACTCGTATTTTTTAAGGGTATGAAAATTGACCGTTTTAAAATATGCATGGTAAGATTTTTATTTTTTGTATACTATAGCAAAGACTGGAAAATATTAAAAAAGAAACAGATGAGATTTCAAAATCATTAACTGATCAAACATGGCCACCTGGTCAAAGAATTGGTGCCAAACCTGCTACAAGATTTGATGTGCCCAAACAATACTATTTCAATATGTCCCATACATTTTTCTATGATGATTTTACTGTGTTAAAAAAGCATACAGAACCTGAACTACAAGATATAGAGGTAAAAAAAATAATTAAAAATAACGTATTTATTATAAATATTTTTGCAGTATATTCTAGAAGAAATAAAAGCCAAAGTTTACAGTAAAAACAGCGAATTAACATTTAAAACCCTCATAAACGGCTATAAAAAGTTTGATCTAAGCAGAGGTCTAGACTACATATTTGACTTGGAGTTTAGGGACTCCAACACTGACAAAAATATAATTAAAAGGTATAATCGTCATCCTTAAATGATACCACACTCGACAAAGTCAAAATAAAGGCGGTCAAAAATGACCGCCGCATTGTTATTTTCAAAAATATTAAGCGGTATAATCGCAATCCTTAATATACTGCCAAAATAAAGGCGGTCAAAAATGACCGCATTTATTATCGTTATTTTTCAACGGATTTCTACGCGCGATAGCTCATCTTAAAGGTATTTCAACACATATTAACATTTTCAGGTTTGAAGTTTGTAAACCACTGGGCAATGTGGAATTTCTGCAAGTTCCATACGTCACTGAAACTTCAAGGGTTACAATATTGTTACCTATTCAAGTAAATCAAGTTCAATTCGGTTTGGGCTTTCTTAAAGGTTACATCAACAATATTATGGATAGAAAAGAGAAAACTTTTCTAATGTTGGTGTTATTGTATCAGTATACAAGTGAGGGTAAAGGCGAGCATGATATTTTTAATGAGGTTAAGAATATTGTAACAAAAACCTCGAATAAATATAAAAATGATGATGCCAAAATAGCCTGGGTTTCTGTAAGGCTGCCTGAAAGTAAAAAACCCATCTACACAGAAGAATATAAATCTTTAAACTTTGCAATTGTCGACTTGGCTTTAAAAAAAATCGGGCTTGAAAGTCTCACTCTGGTTTTAGATGTGTATTGTAATATTACTGTGGATTTTTTGAATAGGGTTAGAATGAATACCATTCAGAATTTCCAGATTTTTAACCCCATACCGTTTAGGCAATACAACCCTAAAATAACTCAAATAAACAATCTGGAAGTTAATAAAAATATAGGCCATTTTGACAGAGATCAATACAAATATATATCATTCTATGGTAATGATTATGTATATGGTAAGTTGAAAAAATTATTCAAAAGTCATTTATTAAATTAATGCGCAATTTTAGCACGGAAAAAGTTCCAAAATGTCATCCCCCTGATGCGAATAGATAACGACATATCCAAAATCATAGATGAAGACACAAAAAACACCGGCAACATCTTCGAAATGTTTCTAAAACATCACAAAACTCTACATTGTATGCGAGCGACTGAAATGAATCTCAAAGTGATTTACCATGACGAAACCCAATTGCAAAGCAAGAATTTGTTCTTGGGAAACAATGCGCAATTAGCCAAAATAATACTAAACAAAAAAGAGCTTTAATTTTTGTATATTTATAAGATTTTTTAATAAAATTTTGTTGATAATTGGTTTTTGAGTTTTTATTTCGAATCTACGTAAAAAATCCTTTAAAATTATGTGTAGCATGATGTATTTGCGTTAATTTTAACAAATGACCGCTATTACTGTAAAGGCGGTCATTCTTTATTTGTGGGCGGATTTTGACGTGTGATAGCTTGTTTTATTGTAAATTTTATGTGGATTACAAATGTATAAAAACAACTATAAAATTACTTACAAAATTAAGGATAAATTGTTATCCAACGATTTTAAAATGCCCAGGGTTTGAAGATATGCTCTAATACTTTTTGGTTTGTTAGTTCGGGTGAATCCCTTGAAAAATCATTTTTTTACATGAAAGTACGGATTCTTCCAGGTATTCCTATAAATTATCCCAGATAAGCAACAAAAAAGATCGATATTTGAAATCCACGTAAATATTCCATGAAAATGGAGTATTGTATGATGTATTCAAGTTAATATTAACAAATGACCGCTATTATTATAAACGCGGTCATTTCTTAATTATGCGCGGATGTTATTGTGTGATACCTCATTTTAAAGGTTATTTTACTTAGATTGCAAAAATAACAAAAATGAAAACCTTAACGCCAAATTGTGTGTTTATATTAAATGATTTTTATTAATTTTATTTAATTAATACGTAAATTTGGCACCGAAAGTTTCAAAATGTCATCCCCCTGATGTATTTGCGTTAATTTTAAGGAATGACCGCTATTACTGTAAAGGCGGTCATTCTTTATTTGTGGGCGGATTTTGAGGTGTGATAGCTTATTTTATTGGAAATTTTATGTGGATTGCGAATGTATAAAAACAAATATAAAATTCCTTACAAAACTTTATTTATTATCAGGAAAACAAATTAATTTATTTCAACACCGGTTCCGCCTAATTCTACAATATTGGCATCAAATCCTTTATTATGTAGTATTTGGATTAAAGTTTCCAGGGTTCCTTGAGCATACTTTGGGGGTATAAAAGTGAAAAAATACCCCCCACCTCCCGCTCCTGTAAGTTTTCCGTGTAAACCATGCTTTAGGCAAATTTTGCGTATTTTTTCTAATTTGACATGTGAAACACCTAACGCGCTTAGTAGGTTATGGTTTAAATCGCACAACTCGAAAAATCTTTGATATAAATTATCATCGTTATCATTATTTTGTGATACATAACGAATAAAGTTCTTGGAGACTTCTTCTATAGCATCTAATATATGACATGTGATATTTTGTTGGTTTTGGCACAAATCCGCTACGCCGGCAACCATTTTTTTAGTATTTCTGGGGATTTTTGAGTTAACTAGTAATATTTTTAGGTTTTTATTGATTTTAAGTAATTTTAGAGGGGCTCCTTTTCTAAATTCAACCATAGATCCAAAAGTACAGATAGTATTGTCAATACCTAAAAAATAAATATAAAATGTTACACATTTTAGTTTGTTGTGTTGGTATTATTACCTGAGGGAGTCCCATGTATAATTTTTTCAGCATGTAGTCCCCATTTCGATATTATTTCTAAATCTTCATGATCAAACGATTTATCATCAAAATCACCAAAGTTATAAGCCTTGTAACCATTTTTAGACACATTATTTTTTCCCCTAGACTTCAACCTAGCATAATGCACTAACAGGGCTGCCAATGTGACCGCGTATGAAGCCGAACTACCTGTGCCAGCGGATATAGTTAGTTCAGAATTAATTTGTACGTCCAAAGTAGGGATTTTTATATCTAGGGACCCTAAGATGCCAGTTGTTAAAAATAAAAATGTTTTTAACGATAAATATAGTGGAGAATTGTTATCCAACGATTTTAAAATGTCCAGGGTTTGAAGATATGTGTCAATTTTTTGCTCTAATACTTTTTGGTTTATTAGTTCGGGTAAATCCCACGAAAAAGCGTTTTTTTCATATGTAAAGTCGGATTCTTCCAGAAATACCTAGAAATTATCCTAGATTACTAACGAAATGATTAAGATTTGAAATCTACGTAAAAATTTCATGAAAACTACTAAATTAAGAAATGACCGCTGTTAGCGGTCATTTCTTAATTGTGCTCGAATTTTATTGTTTGATAGCTTATTGCAAAAATAACAAAATATAAAAACCTTAACGCCAAGTTGTGTGTTTATATTAAATGATTTTAATTCCAAGTTAATACAGTTGTCTTCTAAAGCTTTACAATTTTCTTGTAGGTAAGCCTTGGTTCTTAGTCCTAGACTAGCAGCCAGGGCCAATTTTCCATAAACTACAGCATGTTCACCGTATAAAATTACTTTGCCAGGGGCGGACGCAGAAATATTTAAACCTAAATAAAAAAAAAACAATGTTTTTATAAGAAAATTAATAAAAAAACATTTTTAAATACCTGTGGCCATTATAAACTAAAAAATATAAAACTACAAGAACTTAATTCTGATTTTCTTCCCACTGCTCAGGGGTGAAAGTTTTTTGTGAGAAAGCGTGTATTGTTTTGAGTTCTTCCTGCAAAACTGTGTTAACAAGCCTAAAACACCATAACAATGTTATTATTTATAGTAAAATATTAAAAATTTGAATCATACCTATGTCTTTGCAGTAAAGGCTTTCCCTTAAACTTTTCAGAAACAATTATGCAAGAAAATTTGCCCCCACAACCGTCTGATTCGTCTACGACTTCCTAAAATTATTTAAAACATGTTTTTAGTTATAATAAGTTTAAAATATGCCTGATGGTTTAAAAGATTATATTTAAAAATAGCTTAAATATTCACTGATATTTTTTGTGTGATAAGAATTTTAATTTTACATGTAAAATTAAAATTCTGCAGAAAAATATCCTTTAACAATTTGGTAGAGCATAAAATTCACTACAAAATCCTTTTTTACTTTCTTTATTTGAGGGCGTGTAGCATGACGTATTTGCGTTAATTTTAACGAATGACTGCTATTACTGTAAAGGCGGTCATTCTTTATTTGAGGGCGGATTTTAACGTGTGATAGCTTGTTTTATTGGAAATTTATGTGGATTATAAATGTATAAAAACAACCATAAAATTACTTACAAAATTAAGAATAAATATAGTGGAGAATTGTTATCCAACGATTTTAAAATGCCCAGGGTTTGAAGATGTGTCTATTTTTTGCTCTAATACTTTTTGGTTTGTTAGTTCGGGTGAATCCCATGAAAAATCATTTTTTTACATAAAAGTACGGATTCTTCCAGGTATTCATATAAATTATCCCAGATAACCAACAAAAAAGATCGATATTTGAAATCCACGTAAATATTCCATGAAAATGGTGTATTCAAGTTAATATTAACAAATGACCGCTATTATTATAAACGCGGTCATTTCTTAATTATGCGCGGATTTTATTGTGTGATACCTCATTTTAAAGGTTATTTTACTTAGATTTACTGATATTTTTTGTGTGATAAGAATTTTAATTTTACATGTAAAATTAAAATTCTGCCCAAAAATATTCTTTAACAATTTTGTAGAGCATAAAATTCCCTACAAAATACACTTTTTTACTAGGAATTAAAATAAGTTGATAAAAATATAGGAATAAACAAAAACATAATTTAACTATAATAACAAAATTTATTAATAAATGCACAATATCACAAAAATAACATTTTACAAAACTAAGAATCCTTAAGCTTAATATTTTTTAGATCTTCAAATTCTTGTGGTATTCTCAATTGTAATACATTAAAATAAACAAAAAATCCTAAAAAGTGCATACAGGAATACACTGATATTAATAGAGGGAACAAATCTGGGTATTTTTTAGGTGGTTTAATAAATATTGAGGCTGTGAATAGTATTATAGAACCGGCTAGAGATATAGTGAGAATAATATGGAATATAAATGTTTTAATTGTGTCCCTGTTGTTTAGTATTTTTTTGAGGATATATTTTGGGGATTTTTTGTATTCCAAATCCAAGAGAATGTGTAGGATATTTGTGTAGTAATCTTTAAAGTTATCATTTGAGTTTAGCAAACTTTTATAGGCATGTTCTATGGAGACTCGGAAAGATACTGTGTAGAACAATGTTAGAGATATTGTGGCAATTATTAAATTATCTTTGAGTAGTAAGGGGGTCATACTAAAAACTGATATAAATAAAAACCAAAAACATACAAATGGGGCAAAAGGGAAGTACATTAAAACCGGTATTGCCGCTAGTAATATAGATTTTTCGTGTACTTGGAAACTAAACAAAAAAAATGATAGGGATGAGTTTATCAGCGCCAAAACGAATTTACTTTTGTTTGGCCTCAAGAATAAATCAAAACTACTCGGGAATATTGCTGTCAGGGTGGTAAATAAGCATATTCTCATCATGGAATAATTATTAAAACGATTTTTAAGTTTATATATGACGTTAATAGAACACCAAATATTTGAGACCTTATCCTCAAAAACGCCACGTGCTAGAGGAAATTGTCGGTGTAGAACTTGTAGAAAATCGTCTAAATTCCAAATAAAAGGCCACCATATAATTATAAAGGTTATAATAACAGTTAACCCTATTTTAGTTAGGCTAAAAATACCACTCCACCATGATCTACCGGGTTTGGGTACACAAGAGCTTAGTAGATACAAAAAGAATGGTAAAGCATGGTATAACTCCATTTGTTTGTAATTTAAGGCTAAACAAAACATAACAGACGCTAAAATGTTATGTTTCCTCAGTAAAAACACTGTAGCAAATACAGTAAACCCTAACGAAACACAGTTGTACTGAAAATGACCATGATCGACTAATATTATTCCTGGGTACAACAGAGCCAAAACAATTGATAAAGATTCGGACATGGGTCGATTTTCATTGAAATTCTTCGTTTTAGTCTTCTTTAGAACACTCTGTGTAGGTTTTTGACACCTCAAAACAGTCACATAGTATACTATCAAGGCTGGTATATAAATCAATATATCCGAGATTAATACAGTATATCTCATAAAGTTTTTATGTTCTTCACTCTCATATCCTCTCGAGTCGTGCAATTTTGTGTAGTTTTCATTAAAAAATCCAGCAACTTTACCACATATTAACATATGGTATGATGTTAACGGTGGATAATCAATACCCCAGTATTCCAAGTTATTATCACTCCCATTATGATACCACTTATTTATCGGTAAATTAGTCGTTATTTCCATCCAATGCCTTTGAGCCTCATAATCACCAAACATGGGTGGTTTATTATAACCGGAATAGTCACTTAAATTCGTTATACATCTTAACAAAACCGCCACCAACGTTCCGAATATAATTAACCACGTCTCGCAACTCAAACGCACCATTGTACACTATTAAAAGCACCCCAAAATTGCTTGTTTTACACGTAGATACACTTTTCAAAGTCCTATCATTTTAAGGTTATGCTATCATTTGACGTTTAAATGTAAAAATAAATGTACTTACAACGTGCGTGGCGTCCAGACCCTTTTGCAGTTTGTCTTTTAGGTGTTCCTCGGTGTATACCATTCTTAACGGTGAATTAATTTCACTTAAAAGCCGTTTAATCGAGAAAAACCGTAATATTTTTGACGGATTACGAATTTTTGCTGGTAGCGCCATCTGTTAATGAAATTTTGAATGACAATTGTTGAAAACTATTAAAGCTAGATCGTTGAATAAAATGGTTTAACCAGTGTTTTTTAAATGTTTGATTGACCAAAATAATGCATAATTTTGTTTTTAATAAAGTAAATACTTGATTATTCTGCGATATTGCCGTTTTAAGGTATTTATTTCAGCTTGACATTTTTGATAATAGAAAGCGCAATGAACTTGCCATGTGTTCAAGGCCATATCTGTCATTCGGTGGTGTATTTATGTACTAAAAGCAAGTGTAAAAATCTGGCATATTTTTTAATGTTTTAAGGATTTTTTCAGTAAAAAACCAACGCTTGTGACTTAAATTGTATTTAAAAAAGCCCGTTTTCTCGCGTTTTCGCAAAAATCGGTAAGTTTTTCCGTTACTTATTTTGTAAAATCATTCTGGTTTTTGATGACGTCAGGTTTGCCTATTTTTTGAGTAAATTATGCAAAATTGGGTAATTTATGCCTATAGTTTACTTACGTTTAATTACCTTGACTTTTAATTAATTAATTTTTTCCATGTGCGTTAGAAAACTTCAATTTTCGAACTTGGTGTAAAAATTGTTTTAATTGTATTGTATTGTAGTTACCTATCTACATACTTTATTACTTCCAAGTAATTTTACGCGTTAAAATATTTATCTTAATTATTTTTGATAAACAGTACATTTATCGCATTATGTACTTGTTTATGTGGAAATTTCACAAAATTTCATTTAATATGTAGAAAATTTACATGTATTTAGGTATACCATATTCATAATTTGTGTCAAAATGGCATATATGTCATTGTAACATATTTAAATTTGTATACTATGTACATTACTAGTTAAGAAAGTATAAAAACGCGAAAATGATTTGCAAAAATAGGATTTATAAAATGTTTGCAAATAATCCAATAGTTTATAATTAAGATGGGTTATTATAAAATTAATCTAAAAGGTTTAAAATTAATCTTTTTATCTTAAAGCTTTAATAAAATTGGAAAATACACATCAATTTATTGAAAACACTATGTATACACCATGTACATAAATATAATATTTGTTTATTTTAATTTTATAACATGTTATCATTATAATGACTTAATTTGACTTATTTGCCCTTGAATAAACTGGATGTACTTTTGAATTGTTCAAATTTAATTTAATAATGTTTGTGAAATAAAAATTATTTAATTTAAATAAGGTATCAACTTTAACTACCTACCTATATAATCAAAAAAAATTTAGTTAATTGTATTTTGTGTGGAATATATTAAAAAGTAATTGTTTAGCTTTAATTTGGTGTATGATTTATTAGTTTTGGTTGAAAAATAACAAAGTTCTGTCCACTTGTATAAAATGTTGTCAAAACTTTGCTAAAATAGAAAGGCTGATTTTAATGCACTTTATTCATCATAGACAAAACTTCATAGAATATTATAGAGAAAATAATTATCTACAAAATATTGTAAATATTTCTTCCAAAAAAATTAATACCTAACAAAATTGTTTAGTTAGAACTGAAAAATTATGACTTTATTTACGACCCAACTTATAATCACTATATCTCCGCAACTATAAATCATAGGTAAAACCTTGATATAACAAAATTATAGATAATTTAATTATACACAACATTTTTTAACGACATTTTCCCTTAAAATAAAAATTAAAAAAGATACAGTAAAAATAAGAAATCACTTGCAAAAAAATTTTGCAACTGAGATGTGGATGTTTATATCTTAATATTTCTTATCTTATGGCGTGCATTAATGACCTCGCGAAGGACGCAATGTCCTAAGTCACTTACATATAACGTCTGATAAAATTTTAATAGTGGTCACTTGCGGCAAGCCGGTAGAAGTGAGAGGACGTAGTATAGTTGGTTTGCATTTGAGAGGTCGCGCGTGTTTTTTTGTGTGTTTAGTTGGTATTAAAAATTTTTTTGGGGGATTATTGGGGTGAGTTTTAGTGTTTTTTTGGTGTTAATTTGATTGCCTATATAAATATTTTTTATGAAATTGTGTTACTATAAAGTAACAAAACTTTCTTTTGGAGAAAGTAGCTTTTAAACAGGTTTAAAACGAAATTGATTTCAATTATGCTTGATTTATATTTGCCTGGGTTTATAAGTCAATAATTTCCATTAGGTGCTAATATTACCTCATCCCTATATTTATTTAATTGTTCCTAAATAATTTATAAAAATATTAAAATATTCCTGTCTATTTTTAAATGATTGTAACAAACACACGATTGCACTTTGTTAATAGGTTTTTACACAATAGCAAAAAATGCTTTAGACAAGTTTTAAATCAAACAATTAAATATAAAAAAATATATAATTAATTTTTATAAGGAAAAGTCATATCATGATAAAAACTTTTCACTGTCGTCACATTATTGTTAAAAAATGATTATTTAGCTTATACATTAGAAAATTTTCTTTACAAATTTTTAAATAAAATTTATTTGGCTTTAATTTATGATATAAAACGTTCAAATGCCATGCCATGCCATGACCTTTTAAATACACATTGACAAGTTGTGGCTTTATGGCGCTTTAGTCACGGGCTGAAGTTAGCAACAGGTTTTTACACGGGCTGAAGTTAGTTTTAAGTTAGTTGACAGTTGTCAAATGTCATACAATCGTTAAAATAAATTGCTTTTTTGTAAAATATGACTAAATGTGAAAATTATTTTATTATCTCAATACAAAAATACAAAAGTATTAAATAGTTTCTCAACGCCAATATTTGAAAAGTTTATATGAACTTGTACTGACCTTTTAATTTCGCCGGCAGTAAACTATAACTTAAATTCGGGCACGAACTCCACTGTAAAGTGCTCATAAAACATTTTCTTTACTTTCACTGTGAAAAACTCAATTTTCAAGAAATAAATTTCGATTTATAACCTGTGTTTGTATACAATATAAAAATTTTACATTTGACGGTGACACACAGATTCCTCTATTGTTTCATAGATGGCACTCTATACAAATTTTTGATTTAAATCAGATAATAATAAGTATTTGTCGTAGAAAAAGTATAGTATCACCTCGTTTATAAACTTTTCTATACACTCATTAATTTAAATAAAATTCGTGTAAATGGCGTTGATCAAACTTGATACATAATATACTATTATCTACTCCTACATTGACTAGCTGTGACTTAATCGCGTTTTAGTAACGGGCTGACGTTAGCTTTATTCTAAATTAGGGAAAAGTAAGGTTAAATCCGTTAAAAGTTGACAGATGTCAAATGTTTAACAAATAAAATTGCCTTTAAATTTTTCTTTGTGTTCGTCGTAGATAAAGTATAGTATGCAACTCGTTTTATAAACTTCCTAGACATTTGTTTTTATTAATCACTCGCTTGCGTTTTGATTTATTATCTATGTTTATAACACATACAAATTTGACACAGATTCCCCTATTGTTTTATAGATGGCGCTCTATACATATACTTAATTTAAATCATTTTTGGATAATAATAAGTATTTGTCGTAAAAAAAGTATAGTATGCAACACGTTTATAAACTTTTCTAGACACTCATTAATTTAAGCACTCGCTCGCAAGCTCGCTTGTGCCCGAATTAAATTCGTGTATAAAATGGCGTTTAACAAACTTGATACATAATATACTATTTTATTATTTTATGTTATTGGTAATCTACACAAAAAATCCTTTAAAATGATACCCCACAAGCCATACTTTTATAATATTGCAAACCATGTTGCTATAATTGATATAGCAACATATTTTGCTATATCAGCAAAGTATGGCTTGTGGGGTATCATTTTAAAGGACTTTTCATCAGGTTTGCAATAATCCCATTATTAATACTGTAAAACTATTTATTAGCCTTTTAAAAGTGTTTAATTACAATATAATTTACAGATAATTCAAAATGTCGGCAAAAGCGATAAGAGAAGCAACTGGCAAAGACATAATCAACAGAAATCTGCCAGAAGGGACAGCATTCGAACCATGCACGTTTTTATCAATTGACGAATCGAATTTTAAGAATTTCAGCGCCTTGGTCACCAAAAACCCCTGGTTGACGAGCAAAAAGTTGGTTGTGAAACCTGATCAGCTGATCAAAAGGAGAGGAAAGTTGGGTTTGATCGCCGTAAACAAGGATGTGAATGAGTGCAAAGAATGGATTGCGCAGAGGATAAACAAAGATCAAAAAGTCGGCGAAGCTAGCGGTAAACTGCGTAATTTCATCATCGAACCTTTCGTGAAACATCAAGAAAATGAGGAGATGTACGTGTGCATTTACTCGCACCGTCACGCCGACGCCATCTTGTTCTACCACCAGGGAGGTGTCGACATTGGTGACGTAGACTCCAAAGCCGTGAAATTCGAAGTCCCAGTCACGAAAACGGAAGTCACAGAGGAGGAAATCTCGAAAGCGCTCCTCGCTCAAGTGCCAGCCGCCAAGAAACAAATGGTGGCTAAATTCGTGCACGCCCTCTACAAACTCTACGTCGATCTGCACTTCACCTACCTGGAAATCAACCCTCTCGTGGTCACAGACAAGCAGATCTACATGCTTGATTTGGCGGCCAAAATCGACGCCACCGCCGATTTTGTGTGTCGCCCACAATGGGGCGAAATCGACTACCCTCCGCCGTTCGGCCGTGACGCCTACCCAGGTAAAATGATCACAATTTTTGGATTCCACGTGAAAAATCCGGAAATTTGAGTACCCACATCGTTTTTTGCTGACATAGCAACATAGCAACATTTTTGTTGCTAGATTGTTGCTAGGTTATCAAAATAGGGCTTGTGGGGTATCAAATGAAAGAATTTTTTGCGTACCTTAAAAAAATAATATATTACACGATAAATTAAGCAATAATATGAATCAACACAGATAATTTTAAAATAATTTATATTTTTGGGAATCTACACAAAAATCCTTTTAAAATGACACCCCACAAGCCATACTTTTATAATATTGCAAACCATGTTGCTATAATTGATATAGCAACATATTTTGCCATATCAGCAAAGTATGGCTTGTGGGGTATCATTTTAAAGGATTTTTCATCAACTTTACCATAATCCCAGTAATAAAACTAATAATGGGATGTATGTCTTCAAATGACGCTTTTATCGGTATTTGCACAAAATGATAACGATTTTTGGAATCCATGTGAAAAATCCGGAAATTTGAGTACCCACATCGTTTTTTGCTGACATAGCAACATAGCAATACTTTTGTTGTTGGATTGTTGCTATGTTAGCAAAATAGGGCTTGTGGGGTATCAAATGAAAGAATTTTTTGCGTACCTTACAAAAAATAATATATTACATTTAACACGATAAATTAAGCAATAATATGAATCAACACAGATAATTTTAAAATATTTTATATTATTGAGAATCCACGCAAAAATCTTTTCAAAATGATACCCCACAAGCCATACTTTTATAATATTGCAAACTATGTTGCTATAATTGATATAGCAACATATCTTGCTATATCAGCAAAGAATGGCTTGTGGGGTATCATTTTAAAGGATTTTTCATTAATTTTACAAAAATCTTAATAATAACATTTTTATGTGTTCAGAGGAAGCTTACATCGCCGATTTGGACTCCAAATCCGGTGCCAGTTTGAAACTGACCATCCTCAACAAATCCGGTCGCATTTGGACCATGGTTGCCGGCGGCGGTGCCTCCGTCATCTACAGCGACACCATTTGCGACCTAGGCGGCGCCAAAGAGTTGGCCAACTACGGCGAATACTCCGGCGCCCCGTCCGAACAGCAAACCTACGAGTACGCAAAGACGATTTTGTCGCTGATGACGCAAGAAAAACACCCGCAAGGCAAAGTTCTCATTACCGGGGGAGGTATTGCCAACTTCACCAACGTTGCTGCCACCTTTCGAGGCATCATCACTGCTCTCATTGAGTTCAGAGAACGTTTGGTCGAACATAAAATCTCCATCTATGTGAGAAGAGCCGGTCCCAACTACCAAGAAGGTTTAAGACGCATGAGAGAAGTTGGACAAACTTTAGGTAACTATTTTGAAAGACCCTATGTATATTTAGATGTTTTTTTTGACAAATTATTTAAGAAGGCTTTAATTTGAGATATGAAAAATCCATTTGAAATTAACGAAATTATAACTAGATATACAAAACATTGTTAAGCTTGAATTTAAACCTCGATAACAATATTTGCCCTGGGAAAACGACATTTTTATAAATTTGTGTTCTGGTGTTTTTGGTGATCTACACAAAAATCCTTTTAAAATGATACCCCACAAGCCATACTTTTATAATATTGCAAACCATGTTGCTATAATTGATATAGCAACATATTTTGTTATATTACCAAAATATGGCTTGTGGGGCATCATTTTAAAGGATTTTTAATCAACTTTACGATAATCTAATCTGAATGACATTTTCATGCGTTCAGAGGAAGCTTACATTGCCGATTTGAAACCTCGATACCTCGAACAATATTTGCCCTGGGAAAACGACATTTTTATAAATTTGTGTTGATGTTTTTGGTATTTTACACAAAAATCCTTTTAAAATGACACCACACAAGCCATACTTTCATAATTGCAAACCATGTTGCTATATTTGATATAGCAACATATTTTGTTATATTAGCAAAGTACGGCTTGTGGGGTATCATTTTAAAGGATTTTTCATCAACTTTACGATAATACAATCTGAATGACATTTTCATGTGTTCAGAGAAAGCTTACATCGCCAATTTTAAACCTCGATACCTTGAACAAAATTTGCCCTGGGAAAACGACATTTTTATAAATGTGTGTTCTGGTGTTTATGGTAATCTACACAAAAATCCTTTTAAAATGATACCCCACAAGCCATACTTTTATAATATTGCAAACCATGTTGCTATAATTGATATAGCAACATATTTTGTTATATTAGCATAGTATGGCTTGTGGGGTATCATTTTAAAGGATTTTTCATCAACCTACCGATGATCTAATCTGAATGACATTTTCATGTGGAAGCTCGAACAATATTTGAATGAATTTGTGCAGAATTTTATGGGCTTCAACTTACGACTTATTTCAGGGATCCCTCTTTACGTTTTCGGACCCGAAACCCACATGACTGCCATCTGCGGTATGGCCTTGGGCACGAGACCCATCCCCACCGAAAACAAGGTTGAGCACTCGACCGCTAAATTTTTGCTACCGAGCGGCGATAAAGATGCCAAATCTAAGGCGTCCGTGGCAAAAGAAATGGTTGTCGTATCCCCCACCCAAACCGTAAGTACTTCAAGCTATAAAATGTACGCATGCTTAGTTGTTTTATAAGAGTCAGCGATGTTGGAGTTGGAGCGTTATAACTCGGAAAGTATAAGAGGTAGAGATATTTTGCAAACTAGAGATTTGTAGAGGATTTTATAAGCTACAACTTTGTATATGGCAATTTTTTCCCATTATTATTAGTTTAGGAGATATCGTTGAAAAACGACATAAGTCATCAAAAATCATACTATCAAGTTTGAGGCGGGTCAAAAAGTAGCGGTTTGCGTAAAAAAATTTTTAATTACAAATAAATAATACTTTTTTCTTTTTTTAATGTGTTAAATAGGAGTTATTACGTATATTTAACTATATTTTAATCGAAAAATTTTAAATGCGTTTTTAGATGTTCATAGAGCGTCAATTGCGAAAATAACCTAATAATTTTTTTATTGCGAAAAAATATTTATTTTTGTTATTTTTGTTTGTTTGTTAAATAAGACTTATTACGTATAATTAACTGTATTTTAATCGAAAAATATAACAGTTTTTATTTAGAGCATCAATTGAGGAAATAATCATAAAACTTTTTTATTGCAAAGAAATATTTATAAAATAAATAAATAAACATAATTTGAATTTTAACATTTATTTTATTAATAATTCCTTAACTTCTTCATCAAGCTCAAATTTTACAAATTTTGCATTTCTCCTAAATAACGTTATTAGGGGATCAGACGATATTAAAAGACGATGAAATATATCCTCGTTTATTGATTTTCAATTTGTTTTTATCGAAAAAATATATCGAAATTTTTTAAAAGCCTTATTTTTAGATTCTTGAGCTTCCTCAGAAAGTAATGTTTTGCCTAATAGTTTTTACCTTTAAAGATGCAAAACAAGGGATTATTAATTAATTTATAAAATATTTTTCCTTTAAGATACCTACAAAGCAAAGGATAAATAAAAATTCATAACTTTTCCATATGTGTATTTATAACATTATAACTTTTAATTTTAATTTTTTTTATTCAAATAGGAATTTTTATATATGTAGATTAAGATGTAATTTAAACTTTTCCAGATTCTGTCATAAAAGTTGCCAGATTTTGTTTGAATTTATCTTCATTGCAGAATCATTTTGTCATTTTTGTAATTAAGCTAAATTTAAACAAAATCTGGAAACTTTTTTTGACAGAATCTGGAAACGCTAAACCATAACATAATAAACTAAATTAGGCAACCAGATTAACCTAAAGTTCCTAGTTAATCAGTGGCGTACTTTTTGGTAGGATAAAGGTTATTATAAATTATTTATAGTCTTTAGAATTTAGAAAAAAAAAGTTTCAGGGGCTTCTTTATGGACCCTAAGGAACTACCCATTTTAATATATTACATAAATTACATAGCTGTTTTTACAGAATTTATAAGAAATTATTACTTGATGAGTTATCATCCAAAGATTAAACGTCGCTGTCTCTCGCTTCATTGTTTTGCTGTTTTTTCATGGTCACTATGTATATTTTCAAATACTATGAAGGTGGTTTGGCCTTTATACCTTCTAGCTATAGCGGCATCAGCTTTTAAACCTATTATTTTTCCTTTTTGTATATAGAAACTAATAAAATGAAACATAACTTGAAAGGAATAAAACCGTTTTTTCTCCTTATTTTTTAAGGTAAATGAAAATCCCCTAGCTAGTAGAATCCAGTTTCAACAGGTAAACCATCAAGTTCATTTTTATGTGCTCATTTAACACAAAAACGTGTCTGGTGTTTTGTTAATATGATGTAACCGTAATTGTAGACACCGAGCCATGTTGGCGAGCCCATGTTCAGTGCCAAAACCAAGGCCATAGTCTGGGGTATGCAAACCAGGGCCGTCCAAAGCATGTTGGACTTTGACTTCGTCTGCAGCAGGCAAGAACCTAGCTGCGTGGCTATTATATACCCGTTCACGGGAGACCACAAGCAGAAGTACTACTGGGGACACAAGGAGATCCTCATCCCGGTCTACAAGCGCATGAGCGACGCCATGGAGAAGCACCCCGACGCCGACGTGCTTGTCAACTTCGCCTCGTTGAGGTCCGCCTACAGCAGCACCATCGAGTGCCTCAACTACCCGCAGATCAGGACGATCGCCATCATCGCCGAAGGCATCCCGGAAAATTACACCAGGAAGATGATCGTCAAGGCCAACAGCGTGGGGGTCACCATCATCGGGCCCGCCACCGTGGGAGGACTCAAGCCAGGTAGATATTCGGGGAGAGCGCGAAAAATCCCGAAGTTTGAGTACCCACATCGTTTTTTGGTGATATAGCAACGTTCGTTGCTATATGTTGCTATGTGAGCAAAGTGGGGCTTGTGTGGTATCAAATGAAAGGATTTTTAGTGCTTATTGTGAAATTCAACACATTAAGAATGTTGCGTTATAGTTATTACACCAATTAGGATAAATATGAATTATTTTAACATAATATTATTTTACATAAAATTTCCATGCATTTGATACCCCACATGCCATACTTTGCTAATATACCAACATAATGTTGCTATAATTGATATAGCAACATAATTTTGATATATCTCCAAAGTATGGCTTGTGGGGTATCAAATGAAAGGATTTTTAGTGTTTATTGTGAAATTCAACAAATTTAAAATGTTGCGTTATAGTTGTAACACAAATTAGGGTAAATGTCAATTATTTTAAAATATTGTTAATCTACGTAAAAGTATGGCTTCTGGGGTATCGTTTTTAAGGATATTTTGAGCGAAAAATTCTGAAGTTTAAATACCCATATCGTTTTATGCTTTCGTTGCTAGGATGGCAAGGATTTTTAGTGTTTATTGTAAAATTCAACACATTAAGAATGTTGCGTTAGTTATAAGACAAATTAAGATGAATGTCAATTGTTTTAAAATATTCTTAATTTACATCAAATTTCTATGCATTTGATACCCCACAAGCCATACTTTCATAATATTGCAAACCATGTTGCTATAATTGATATAGCAGCATTATTTTGATATATCTCCAAAGTATGGCTTGTGGGGTATCGTTTTTAAGGAAATTTTGCGCGAAAAATCCTGAAATTTGAATACTCATATCGTTTTTTGCTGATATAGCAACTTTCGTTGCTATATGTTGCTATTTAGGCAACGTGGGGCTTGAGGGGTATCAAATGAAAGGATTTGCTATACTTTGCCAATATACCAACATAATGCAGCTATAATTGATATAGCAACATATTTTGTTATATTACCAAAGTATGGATTGTGGGGTATCGTTTTTAAGGATATTTTGCGCGAAAAATCCTGAAGTTTGAGTACCCACATTGTTTTTTAGTGATATAGCAACTTTTGTTGCTATATGTTGCTATTTAAGCAAAGTTGGGCTTGTGGGGTATCAAATGAAAGGATTTTTTGTGTTTATTGTAAAAATCAACACATTTAGAATTTTGCGTTATAGTTATAACACCAATTAGGACGAATGTCGATTATTTTAAAATATTGTTAATTTACATAAAATTTCCATGCATTTGATACCCCACATGCCATACTTCACTAATATAGCAACATTATGTTGCTATAATTGATATAGCAACATTATTTTGATATATCTCCAAAGTATGGCTTGCGGGGTATCAAATGAAAAGATTTTTAGTATTTATTGTAAAATTCAACACATTAAGGCCCGGTTTTATCATCACTAGTTAAAATTAAATTACTACTTAGTTAGTAGTTAATTTGTTTTTGTGTTTTACAATTGGTAGTTATTTATCCAAGTACAGATTATGTTTGAGTTTCCGTAACTACCACTTCTTGTATTAGTAAAGTGGTGGTTAACCTAAAAATACAGTTAATATTGTGCTTATTTTAAATATGGATTTATTGAATTAGGATTTTAATATTTATGACGATGATGACGAAGTTTTATTGAGACGTCCAAAAATTGTTAGACCTCGGACATAATGTGTATAATGAATGCTAACTTAAAATATACTATATATTTAACCAAGGTGTCCAGTATTCCGTAGAAAAAAATGTCCAGACCCTTTTAGGTTTTCCAGAAAGTAACCAGCATTATGTTTAAAATACATTTTTTTAGGAAAAAACGCACATTGATTTAAAAAAAAAAATTTTTTGTCCTGAATACTAAATTTTGTTAAACAAAAAAGTTAATTTTTTGAAAACTAGTTTTAATAACCCAAACTTAACAGGATTAGATAAAAAAAAGCATAAACTGTATTTGGTATCAATCCACATTGCAAATTGTACTAGATAAAACGGCATTTAGTATACTTATTGCAAATGTATAGTACCGTAAAACGGGGTAATAGAAACTTGAGGGGAAATATAATCAAATTTATACGATTTGTTCATCATATCATACTTTGTTTAAATTACATTTGGGTTTAAGTATATAAATTTATAAACTTAAACCAAAGCATCCCAAATTTAATTTAAACAATTTATGATTTTTTTTTTTAAATCCTGTAAATTTGAGTATATTCCCGACGCCAGTAATAACAAAACAAAGCAGTATACTTTTCTCAATTCACTTTTACAGCGCAAAATAAGGTTATATTTGTCGATTTCCGGTAATATTTAATACCAACATTACAAAAATATGTCAAAAGTTGTGATTCTGTAACTAATACTTCAAAATGCATGAAAAAACAGATTACAATTGGACGGCTTTCTGCAGAATGGGACCAACCCACACCATGATGAAACTGTGAAAAAAGCTATCAAAGATTTTAATAATTTTAAAATTACCTGTTAATTTTATGCCGATTTTGGACTTACGGAGGTTTAAGGGATATAATTTAATAATTTCATCAGGTGGATTTTGTGATGTTATGTGTAAGGGTGACGAAAAAAATGGGCTTTTGTTGGTTGGTTCCTTTCTGCAATTTATGAAAACTACTATCTGATGTATGTATGTATTTAAAGAAAAGCGACAATTATTTATTTCCAAACAAAATACAACTGATATTACTATTATAATGGTAATATGAATTAATTTTGATTCTATTTGAAATTCGTCCACATCATCTTCCAACCCCACCTCATCTTGTAAGCTACCAAAAAAATGCATCAAGACTTTATATTTTGCAGAAGCAGGAAATCTTTAAAGACTTTGGTAGTGGGTCTACCAGCCTGCTTTTTTACAAAAAAGATCCAACCCACTTGCAGATATTCTACAGATTCTAATTCTGGATTAGTAATCGACACTATTATTGAATGTTGGTTGGTTCAATGATTAATAGATTTCACTACACTTGCATTTTGGCTATGACCTATTTTGCAGATAAATTATACATGCTTAATTAGTTCATAGGCTAAATATCTCGATTTTTTTGGTTTTGTGGGTTGGTTCCTTTCTGCAGAAAGGCGTCCAATTTAACTAACAATTTACCTCCAGTTAAATATAATTGTAACTTACGAAAGTACTAATTAAATGCAATATTGAAAAACCGGGCCTAAGAATGTTGCGTTATAGTTATAACACCAATTAGGACGAATTTCGATTATTTTAATATATTGTTAATCTACATAAAATTTCCATGCATTTGATACCCCACATGCCATACTTTGTTTTATTAGCAAAGTATGGCTTGTGGGGTATCGTTTTTAAGGAAATTTTGCGTACTTTAAGATGCTTTATTCATAAATTCCGTAAAGTGACACTTTAACGCGTTACAGGTGGTTTCAAGATCGGTAATACCGGTGGCATGATGGACAACATTCTGCACTCGAAACTCTACCGCCCGGGCAGCGTCGCCTACGTCTCGCGTTCCGGCGGCATGTCCAACGAGTTGAACAACATCGTTTCCCACAACACCGACGGTGTTTATGAAGGGGTAGCCATCGGCGGTGACAGATACCCCGGTTCAACCTTCATGGACCACATCATGCGCTACCAGGCCGACAAGAACATCAAGATGATCATCTTGCTCGGTGAAGTGGGCGGTACCGAGGAGTACGACGTCTGCCACGCGTTGCAGACCAAGAAAATCACGAAACCGCTGGTCGCCTGGTGCATTGGAACGTGCGCAGGCATGTTCACTGCCGAGGTCCAGTTCGGGCACGCCGGATCGTGCGCCAACTCGAACAAAGAAACCGCCACGGCCAAGAACGAAGCTCTCAAGGCCGCAGGAGCTCACGTGCCCGATTCCTTCGATTATTTGGGTGAGTTTAGTTTATATATCGGTTTTTTAGCTTCAATTTGGTGTATCAAAACTTGAAATAAGTTGATTATTAACGGTTTTACTGAAGAAGTAGTGTTTGGCGAGATAGTTTAGAGAACTTTAGATTGAGATATCTCTGGATCTGTTGGTTACACCTAAATAAAATAGAGATGATTTTGTAGATAATTTTGTCAGCTTTAAATTTATTATTAACAATATATCTGTCAAATTTATATTTTTTTAGATATTTAAGAAAAACACTTGCAATGACGAAAAAACTTAACTGAAATTTTGTGTTTAGGTAACTTTTACAATTTTTAAAGAAAACATAATTTGGTTTATAAATTATTGAATAACGTTAATTAAGGTTTAATATAAAATACAAAACGTTAAAATCTGTTAAAACTTAACGGAATTATGGCTACTTAACGGAAATCTTGTTTGACATCAATTTTCACCCTATGATGTTCCAGTTTTAATATCGATATCTCTGAAACTATAATTGGCCGAAAAAGCTGCTTTAAATCGTTTTGTAGGTAATTTTATAATCTTTAAAAGAATATTTTATATTTTTTTGCAAAATCAACAATTTTGGAAATATTAAACATAAACAACTTATAAAAACCGTTGTTACTTTCTAAATTATTAATATATCGTTATAAACAAAGACAGGATTTTAGGCCCTTAATTAAAATTAGGACGCATAATTAGGCAATTAAAACCTACATTTTTGGCCGTTTTGGGCCGAAAGTTCCTAAAATAGACCTCAACCGTCTAAAATAGGCGATATGAAATAAAAACAACACGATTAAACATAACATTTATTCAGGTCCTATCAATGAAAATAAAACCTCTTAATATAAAATACATAATAAAAATAGTAACACAAACTCTTGCAAACGATTGCCCGTATGAATAAAGAAAAGGAAAAATATTGGAATAAACAGGCGATGCTGAACAAAAAATATAAACAAATACAAACAAAAGCACGATACGTTGATTCCAACGGTTGTCAAACATAAACTTACTGGTAAGTATATGTTGTCAAAGTTGGCTTTAAAGAAAAACTATTTACCACGTGTAAATTGTGGAGAGTTATTTAATTATGCCATAGATGGCGACAAAACTGTTAAAAAGTCTGAAATTACCATATATATAATACATATATGGAAATTACAGTAAAACCTATGAAAACAAAGTAAATAATAATTTTCAACCATTATTTTACAAACTTAATATTATCCATAATTATTTATAAAAAATATTTACTTAGCAAAAACACAATTACTTTTTTATTAGGTTTTCACTAGTTTTGTAATTTGTAATAATAATAATAATAATGAAAAATATATTTTTTACTGATAAATTAAAAGGGCCTATTTTAGGCTCATAAATATGTCGTTTTAGGACAATAAATCAAAATTTCGCCATTTTAGGCTTTTAGGCCAGACCAAAGGGGTGTCAAACGCTTTATTTTTTTAAGTTTAAGATTAATTTCAAGGTCCCAAACCAATGCTTAAATTGGAACAAAAAGGCATTTTGCATAAAATCCGGTCCTTGGTTATAAATATCGATAACTTTTACAATTTTTAATAAAAAATAATTTGAATAATATTAAAGAACGTTAATTAGGGTATAATATAAAATATAAAACTTTAAAATCTGTTAAAAATTAACGGAATTATGACTATTTAACGGAAATCGTGTTTGACATCAATCTTTACCTTATCATGTTCCGATTTAAATAACGATATCTCCGAAAACTTTGTTATAATCGTTTTGTAGGTGATTTTATAGTCTTTAAAAACCTATTTTATATATTTTTTTAACCTAGTAATTTTCGAGATATTAAGCACAAAACTTTGTTATAATCGTTTTGAAGGTGATTTTATAGTCTTTAAAAATCTATTTTATATTTTTTTTAACCCAGTAATTTTCGAGATATTAAGCACAAAACTATAAGTGGTCAAAAAACGTGGTTTTAATCGTTTTGTAGGTAATTTTATATTCTTTAAAAGCCTATTTTATATTATTTTGTGAAACCAAATATTTTTAAGATATGTAGCACAAACAACTTCACCGACAATATTTGTGAAAACCGTTGTAACTTTCTAAATTATTAATATATCGTTAACTTTTACAATTTTAAGAAAAAATAATTAAAAACGTTAAAAAGGTGTTTAATATAAAATATAAAACGTTAAAATCTGTTAAACATTAACGGAATTTTGGCTACTTAACGGAAATCGTGTTTGACATTAATTTTCACCTTATGATGTTTCGGTTTAAATATCGATATCTCTGAAACTATGGTGGTTATAATCGTTTTGTAGGTGAATTTATAATCTTTAAAAACCTATTTTATATTTTTTTGTGAAACCAGTAATTTTCGATATATTAAGCACAAAAAACTTTAACGACAATATTTGTGAAACCCTTGTTACTCTGTTAATTATTAATGTATCCTTATAAATATATCTATAAGTTTTACAAATTTTAATACAAAATAATTTGGTTTATAAATTATTGAAAAACGTTAATTAGGGTTTAATATAAAATATAAAACGTTAAAATCTCTTAAAAAGTAACGATATTATGGCTACTTAACGTAAATCGTATTTGACATCAATTTTTACCTTATGATGTTTAAATATCGATATCTTTGAAACAGAAAAACGTGGTTTTTAATCGTTTTGTAGGTGATTTTATAATTTTTAAAAGCCTAATTTATACTTTTTGTGAATCCAACAATTTTCGAGGTATTAACCACAAAACAATTTTAACGACAATATTTGTGAAACCATTGTTATTTTCTTAATTATTAATATATCGTTTTATGTTTTGATAACTTTTACAATTTTTAAGAAAAAATAATTTGGTTTATAAATTATTAAAGAACGTTAACTAGGATTTAATATAAAATATAAAATGTTAATTTTTTTTTAAAATTAACGAAATTATGGCTACTTAACGGAAATCGTGTTTGACATCAATTTTCACCTTATGATGTTCCTGTTTAAATATCGATATCTCTGAAACTCTAAGTTGCCGAAAAACGTGGTTTTAATAGTTTTGTAGGTAATTTTATAATCTTTAAAAACCTATTTTATATTTTTTTGTGATACCAGTAATTTTCGAGATATCAAGCACCAACAACTTTAACGACAATATTTGTGATAATTATTAATATATCGTTATAAATATCGATAACTTTTACAATTTTAATTCAAAATAATTTGGTTTATACATTATTGAAGAACGTTAATTAGGGTTCAATATAAAATATAAAACGTTCAAATCTGTTAAAAAAACAACGTAATTATGGCTACTTAACGGAAATCGTCAATTTTACCTTATGATGTTTTGGTTTAAATATCGAAATCTCTGAAACTACACTCACATGCAAAATAATCGATCCACACAAATTTTCGATTAATTTCAATCGCAATTTACTTTTTTATTTGATGTCGGATTTAAACGAATATTAAAGAATATTGTAGATAAATTAATGGACAATCGCTCACATTTTAAAAAATTACTAAAAAATAGACGTACGTTTATAATATACAGGTTTAAACAAAAACATGATTTTTACCATAAGTTTAAGACACTCTGTAGAGTGGCAAAACCGTATATTATTCTAAATTAAGTTTTATTTATCAAGTCACATCTATTCTTAACAATTTTGTTTTTGGTTCACCTCGATATATTTATTTTTGTGGAAAATATGGATTTTAAAAAAAAACATTGCAATTTCCAATATTTTTCTGTATGAATGCTATGGTCCATTCATAGGCTATGGAGAATGACAGTGACAGTTTTGTTGAATCATCCCATACTTGGACATGTCATACACGGCTTTCAAAAGCTATCAAATTGTTTTTTGCAAATTAATGTTTAAATTTTGAGGTGTCTTCTTACTTTAAAAATGGATATGTCTCCGACTGATGTTGCCAGAGCCATTAATTTAATCCAGGATGGACGGTCACAGTATTACGTGGCAAGTGTTTTAAACGTCACAAGAAGTAAAGTACAAAGGGCAACATCAGTCGGAGACATTTTTAAAAGTAAGAAGACACCTCAAAATTAACACATTAATTTACAAAAAACAATTTGATAGCTTATGAAAGCTGTATATGACATGTCCAAGTATGGGATGATTCAACAAAACTGTCACTGTCATTCTCCATAGGTATGGATGGACCATAGCAAACTTAGTTCTTCATACAGGAAAAATATTGGAAATTGCAATGTTTTTTAAAAAAAATCATATTTTCCACAAAAATAAATATATCGAGGTGAACCAAAAACAAAACTGTTAAAAATAGATGTAACTTGATAAATAAAACTTAATTTAGAACAATATACACTCTACAGAGTGTCTTAAACTTATGGTAAAAAAACATCTTTTTGTTTAAACCTGTATGTGAGCGATTTTCCATGAATGTATCTACAATATTCCTTAATATTTGTTTAAATCCGAAATCAAATAAAAAGTTATTTGCGATTGAAATTCATCAAAAATTTGTGTGGATCGATTATTTAAAAAAAATTTTTTTTAAAACAATTTTCGACAATACGACAATATTTGTTAACATATCGGAATAAATTTGGTATCATTGGAAATCTAGAACGTTTCTCTCAATTCAAGGCGAAATAATCCGCGACGTGTACCAAAGTCTGGTCGGCCAGGGGGTCATCGTGCCCGCCCAAGAAGTACCCCCGCCGACCGTGCCCATGGACTACAGCTGGGCCAGAGAGCTGGGCCTGATCCGCAAGCCGGCCTCCTTCATGACCTCCATCTGCGACGAGCGCGGCCAAGAGCTGATCTACGCCGGCATGCCGATCTCGGACGTGCTTCAGAAGAACGTCGGCATCGGCGGCGTCATCTCCCTTCTCTGGTTCCAGCGCTGCCTGCCGTCGTACGTGTGCAAGTTCTTCGAGATGTGCCTGATGGTGACGGCGGACCACGGGCCGGCCGTCTCGGGCGCGCACAACACGATCGTGTGCGCGCGCGCCGGCAAGGATCTCGTCTCGAGCGTCGTGTCGGGGCTTCTGACCATCGGCGACAGGTTCGGGGGGGCTCTGGACGGCGCCGCGAAGCAGTTCAGCGAGGCCTACGATACCGGTGAGTTTTTACCCTTCATCTGCTCTTCATTGATAACCGAGGGGTCAACCACCCAAAGGGAAAACGTCCAGGGATTCCCATGTATTTCCATTATATTCCTATGGTATTCCCCCTCTAAAATGTCCAGGGATTCCCAGGTGTGGGTGACCCCTCGTTGATAACTTTACATCTTTCTTGTAACTTTATTAAAACGACAATAAACTCACTTTTTAACCAAGGCACTTTCATAGACTTTGTGCAAAAGCAATTAATGTCAATTTTAACGTTTGTAGTTAAGTCAGGGAAATAATTAATAACTATATTTAAACTTTAATTAAATCGATTAATTACACTATGGGGTAATTCCGTCTTAAATCGCAATTTTGAGAGGAAATATTTTTAAATTTATTTTTTATAAACAGTCATAATTTATAGTAATGTACTTAGTATTAGACCCTACTTAAATAACACTGTGCGACAAATTTTGACCTTACAATTTGAACTGGGATGAAATGTGGAAAAATCGAATCTATGCAACCCCCAAAACTAATCTTTAAAGGGGTTTTGCTAGTTTAGCTCGAATAATGGAGATATATAAAAGCCCCTAGAGCTTAAAAAAAATATATGAATTTTATAGAAAAATGCTCGGACACGTCGATTTTTATTTTATATGACGCAATTTTCAGTTGATTTTGAAATTTTTATTTTTTCACAGATTCACCCCCAGCCACCCCACTTTTTTTTTTAAAGAAAACCGACCCTTTGTTATACCTTAAATGAGTACTCCAGCCTAGTTTAACTAATTTTGGGACGCTGATTTTAAAAACACTGCGCGCCAAAATTAACGCATAACAAGTAAAAACAATCCAACTCTAAAACGACTTTATAAAATTTTGGATAAAAATACTTTAACTTATATCTCAGTTTACGTGTTTAAGGGTTTTTCGAGAAAATATATAATATATATAATATATTTTTTTTGAAGTAAATAAAAAATATGCTGTGAAAGACCGTATTTTTGTTAGTATACCCTGAAAATGTTCTCGTCAAAATTGACCACTTTTCAGAAAAATAATCAAAAAGGGGTAATTTTTACCGACTTTGAAGCGCTGTATCTTCGTTACTGTTCGTTTGATTTGTACAAAATTTTTAGGTTATACTAAAAAAATACGGTCTTTCGCAGCATATTTTTTATTTACTTAAAAAAAAATTCCCTATAAAAGTTTTTTTAATATTTTTTATTTAGGTACTTAAAAAAAATCCCTAAAAGTTATTTTTTAAATGTTTTTTTATTATTAAATAAAAGAGTTTTAAAAATATTTTCTCGAAAAACCCTCGAACATGTAAACTGAGATATAAGTTGAAGTATTTTTATACAAAATTTCATAAAGATTGGTAAAGGAGTTTTAGAATTTTTTACTTATTATGCGTTAATTTTGAATTTTTAATGACATTAATCAATTTAATGAATAGGCGCCAATTTTCGGCCCGATATAATAAGATTTAATAAATTTAAGATTGGAAATCAAATGTTTGGGTACTTTAGGCATGATGTGAATAAAAAATATTAAATAATTGTCGAAAAGTAATGTTTATACCGAAACACGTTTACTTTGGTATTTTTTCAACTAACTAAATAAAAAAAGGACAGAAAAATTTCGAAAAATGATACTTTTTACAAACAAATATATTAGACTTTTAGTTTTGGAATTTAAAATGCCATTCCTTTGGTATAAATATTTTCTATTTGACTAAACCTAACGATGACTTTGTATATTTTTGACAAAAAACGTCAAAAATATACAGGAACTCGGTACATTAAAAATAGATTTAAAGCAAAATAATTTAATAAGTATTAACGAAAAACTTAGATTTTAAGATAATTGGGCAGAGCATTTTATTACGCAATTCGAATCCTAGACGTCCTGGAGCAAAACTAGTGGCATTTTTGAAATCAGCAGCCCAAAATCAGTATTTTACTCTTATCTTTAGGTAATTAAATAGAGAATATTGGCAGTGTTAGTAGAGATATCTAAAAACTGTTTACATATTCTAAAAGAGCACAAACTCTTTAGTAAATCATAAACATTTCAGGAAAATATTTCATCTCCAACATATTAAAAAAAAAATCTGTTACAACTAGGTATGCAACCCACGGAATTCGTAAACCACATGCGCAACAAAGGTCAACTGATCATGGGTATCGGTCACAGAGTAAAATCCATCAACAACCCGGATCAAAGAGTTAAAATTGTCAAGGAGTTTGTGTTGGCCAACTTCCCGGCAACTCCCCTCTTGAAATACGCTTTGGAGGTGGAAAAAATCACCACCAGCAAAAAACCGAACTTGATTTTGAACGTCGACGGCGTCATAGCGACATCTTTCGTCGACATGTTGAGGAACTGCGGAAGCTTCACGAGCGAAGAGTCGCAAGAGTACATCCAGATTGGCGCCATCAACTCCCTGTTCGTTCTGGGCAGGTCTATCGGTTTCATCGGCCACTTCATGGACCAGAAGAGGCTCAAGCAAGGCCTTTACAGACATCCATGGGACGATATCTCGTACGTGCTCCCCGAGCAGTACAACAACTAATAATATAAGGTGCTAGGTTTATCTGGACTGACTGTAGGTCGTTAGAAAAACAAAAAAAATTAATCAATCACCGATGTTTTAGGAAAAAGCACGATAAATAAATGTTGACTGTTTTGAGAAAAAATATATTTATTTTGTCGAATCAATATTTATATACTTTTTATAATATTTATATTGTTTTTATTGAAGTCTAGCGACTTTGGTTCTATTTTTTTATTGTAGACATCTGTTAAGTGCGATTCAGTGTATTTTAAATCTATTTATAAATAAATGTCTTAAGAAATTACCAGAATTTTTTTTCAAATACCTACATTTCATTTTTTTTTTATCTGGACTAGTGTTTTTTTGTTAGACTTAGTATTTTTAGTATTTAAAAATGGTACTTCTGCTAAAGAATTTAATTAAATACTTCGACACTGTCAAATTGACAATAATATTTATTATTGATAATTTACTTGTCAATTATAAATAAAAAGATAATTATGCCAAAAATAATAGCAACGAATTCGAATGTAAAAGCCCTTTTGAGGGCAAAACTTCATTTTGATGAAATTATGCCACAATGGAAGAAAAAGTACATAGCCTTATGGACATTTTTGGAGTAAAAAAGGAATGAATTTGGTTTTATAAATATTACATCACACATTATTCATCATTGGACAACATTTAGGTTCACAAAAAATTTTAATTTCTTTTATATAAATTCTTTTCAAAGCGAAGATTATTATCCGCTAGGAATACTTTCTCTTCTGGGCCGTAAAGCAACCTATATTTAACTACTTTTTTATATGATTTTACTCATCCAAGCACCACCAAAGCCAAATAAATTGCATTTTTAACTACGAATTTCGACAACTCAACTTGACAACTGCACAATGTAACCTACAATAATTTATACATAACCACAATTAGATTTATAACTAGCTTAGTTTGTTTTAATCAATGGGACCAACTTGACAACTATATTTACCAACCAAAACCCTAAATTTGCAACGTTGCCGCAGTCCAGATAAAAAAAATGAACTTTATTTGACGCCATTTAAATTTCAAGACTTGACCTGATTTATAGATTGCCTTCCTTCCTCCCTCCCGTAGAAGATGAACAATACGAAAACCGTAATGCTGTTTACATTCAGATTGGCGCCATTAACTCCCTGTTCGTTCTGGGCAGGTCCATCGGTTTCATCGGCCACTTCATGGACCAGAAGAGGCTCAAGCAAGGTCTCTACAGACATCCATGGGACGATATCTCGTACGTGCTGCCCGAGCAGTACAACAACTAATAATATAAGGTGCTAGGTTTATCTGGACTGACTGTAGGTCGTTAGAAAAACAAAAAAAATTAATCAATCACCGATGTTTTAGGAAAAAGCACGATAAATAAATGTTGACTGTTTTGAGAAAAAAATATTTATTTTGTCGAATCAATATTTATATACTTTTTATAATATTTATATTGTTTTTATTGAAGTCTAGCGACTTTGGTTCTATTTTTTTATTGTAGACATCTGTTAAGTGCGATTCAGTGTATTTTAAATCTATTTATAAATAAATGTCTTAAGAAATTACCAGAATTTTTTTTCAAATACCTACAGTTCATTTTTTTATCTGGACTAGTGTTTTTTGTTAGGTTGGTGGCTTATGCCAGTTTGACTTAGTATTTTTAGTATTTAAAAATGCTAAAGAATTTAATTAAATACTTTGACACTGTCAAATTGACAATAATATTTATAATTGATAATTTACTTGTCAATAAATAAAAAGATAATTATGCCAAAAATAATAGCAACGAATTCGAATGTAAAAGCCCTTTTGAGGGCAAAACTTCATTTTGATGAAATTATGCCACAATGGAAGAAAAAGTACATCGCCTTATGGACATTTTTGGGGTAAAAAAGGAAAGAATTTGGTTTTATAAATATTACAACACACATTATTTTCACATTATTCACCTTTGGACAACATTTACGTTCACAAAAAATTTTAATTTCTTTTATATAAATTCTTTTCAAAGCGAAGATTATTATCCGCTAGGAATACTTTCTCTTCTGGGCCGTAAAGCAACCTATATTTAACTACTTTTTTATATGATTTTACTCATCCAAGCACCACCATAGCCTAATTAATTGCATTTTTAACTACGAATTTCGACAACTCAACTTGACAACTGCACAATGTAACCTACAAGAATTTATACATAACCACAATTGGATTTATAACTAGCTTAGTTTGTTTTACTCAATGCGACCAACTTGACAACTGTATTTACCAACCAAAACACTAAATTTGCAACGTTGCCGCAGTCCAGAAAAAAAAGTGAACTTTATTTGACGCAATTTAAATTTCGTCCCAAGACTTTATTAATATTGCAAAAAACTTCTTAAAGCCTGATTTATAGATTGCCTTCCTTCCTCCCTCCCGTAGAAGATGAACAATACGAAAACCGTAATGCTGTTTACATTCAGATTGGCGCCATTAACTCCCTGTTCGTTCTGGGCAGGTCCATCGGTTTCATCGGCCACTTCATGGACCAGAAGAGGCTCAAGCAAGGTCTTTACAGACATCCATGGGACGATATCTCGTACGTGCTTCCCGAGCAGTACAACAACTAATAATATAAGGTGCTAGGTTTATCTGGACTGACTGTAGGTCGTTAGAAAAACAAAAAAAATTAATCAATCACCGATGTTTTAGGAAAAAGCACGATAAATAAATGTTGACTGTTTTGAGAAAAAAATATTTATTTTGTCGAATCAATATTTATATACTTTTTATAATATTTATATTGTTTTTATTGAAGTCTAGCGACTTTGGTTCTATTTTTTTATTGTAGACATCTGTTAAGTGCGATTCAGTGTATTTTAAATCTATTAATAGATAGATAAATTTATAAATAAATGTCTTAAGAAATTACCAGCATTTTTTTTCAAATACCTACAGTTCATGTTTTTTATCTGGACTAGTGTTTTTTTGTTAGGTTGGTTGCTTATGCCAGTTTGACTTGGTATTTAAAAATGCTAAAGAATTTAATTAAATACTTTGACACTGTCAAATTGACAATAATATTTATTATTGATAATTTACTTGTCAATTATAAATAAAAAGATAATTATGCCAAAAATAATAGCAACGAATTCGAATGTAAAAGCCCTTTTGAGGGCAAAACTTCATTTTGATGAAATTATGCCAAATGCCACAATGGAAGAAAAAGTACATAGCCTTATGGACATTTTTGGAGTAAAAAAGGAACGAATTTGGTTTTATAAATATTACATCACACATTATTTTCACATTATTCATCATTGGACAACATTTACGTTCACAAAAAATTTTAATAAATTCTTTTCAAAGCGAAGATTATTATCCGCTAGGAATACTTTCTCTTCTGGGCCGTAAAGCAACCTATATTTAACTACTTTTTTATATGATTTTACTCATCCAAGCACCACCAAAGCCAAATAAATTGCATTTTTAACTACGAATTTCGACAACTCAACTTGACAACTGCACAATGTAACCTACAATAATCAGGGTTGGGTATCTACCTACATTTTTGTTTTCGACATGTAGAAAACCTTTTTCGACGTTTTCGACGGTAGAAAACGTAAAAAAGTAGAATACTGTCAAATATCAAAAAATGTGAGGTTATGCAAGTTTGTTGTTTATTATGATTTGTTAAATGTTGTGAAAAATCAGACACTCACCATAAATTTGAAGTTATTTGGAGTTTTTTAACATTATTATGGTGGGAAAAAAAGGGCCACGTTTGGTTGGGAGAAGGTCGAATAAGGTAATTTACGTAGGTAGAAAACCCTATAGGTTTTCGACGCAAGTCGAAAACAAGTTTTCTACCCTTTTCTACCAAGGTAAATTACCTAAGGTTTTCTACTGACCCAACCCTGACAATAATTTATACATAACCACAATTAGATTTATAACTAGCTTAGTTTGTTTTAATCAATGGGACCAACTTGACAACTATATTTACCAACCAAAACCCTAAATTTGCAACGTTGCCGCAGTCCAGAAAAAAAAAGTGAACTTTATTTGACGCAATTTAAATTTCGTCCCAAGACTTTATTAATATTGCAAAAAACTTCTTAAAGCCTGATTTATAGATTGCCTTCCTTCCTCCCCCCCGTAGAAGATGAACAATACGAAAACCGTAATGCTGTTTACATTCAGATTGGCGCCATTAACTCCCTGTTCGTTCTGGGCAGGTCCATCGGTTTCATCGGCCACTTCATGGACCAGAAGAGGCTCAAGCAAGGTCTTTACAGACATCCATGGGACGATATCTCGTACGTGCTGCCCGAGCAGTACAACAACTAATAATATAAGGTGTTAGGTTTATCTGGACTGACTGTAGGTCGTTAGAAAAACAAAAAAAAAAAATCAATCACCGATGTTTTAGGAAAAAGCACGATAAATAAATGTTGACTGTTTTGAGAAAAAATATATTTATTTTGTCGAATCAATATTTATATACTTTTTATAATATTTATATTGTTTTTATTGAAGTCTAGCGACTTTGGTTCTATTTTTTTATTGTAGACATCTGTTAAGTGCGATTCAGTGTATTTTAAATCTATTTATAAATAAATGTCTTAAGAAATTACCAGATTTTTTTTTCAAATACCTACAGTTCATTTTTTTTATCTGGACTAGTGTTTTTTTGTTAGGTTGGTGGCTTATGCCAGTTTGACTTAGTATTTTTAGTATTTAAAAATGGTACTTCTGCTAAAGAATTTAATTGAATACTTTGACTACATTCGAATGTAAAATCCCTTTTGAGGGCAAAACTTCATTTTGATGAAATTATGCCAAATGCCACAATGGAAGAAAAAGTACATAGCCTTATGGACATTTTTGGAGTAAAAAAGCAACGAATTTGGTTTTATAAATATTACATCACACATTATTTTCACATTATTCACCAATGGACAACATTTACGTTTACAAAAAATTTTAATTTCTTTTATATAAATTCTTTTCAAAGCGAAGATTATTATCAGCTAGGAATACTTTCTCTTCTGGGCTGTAAAGCAAACTATATTTAAATACTTTTTTTATATGATTTTACTCATACAAGCACCACCAAAGCCAAATTAATTGCATTTTTAACTACGAATTTCGACAACTCAACTTGACAACTGCACAATGTAACCTACAATAATTTATACATAACCACAATTGGATTTATAACTAGCTTAGTTTGTTTTAATCAATGCGACCAACTTGACAACTGTATTTACCAACCAAAACCCTAAATTTGCAACGTTGCCG